TGGAAATCATGTTTTGATTTCTTAAATCCTAAATCTATTGGACTCACTTATATTATTAGTAAAAACAATTATACTTAGGATGCTTAAAATCACCAATCCAATGAATTAGTGTAGGAAATTTGAGACAAATAGTAAAAATATGGTTTTAATATAGAACTAAGTCCTTGATAGGATTTCTTTGAGAAAGAATTTTAAAATAAGTAGTTGCTCCTTAATTGAACCAATATAGTTTTATTCTATTAAAAATCAATTGGATTAGGAGCAGAATGTAAACTTGAAGTAGTCAATTCAAAACATTAGAAGATAATAGAAAAAAGAAATAGAAGGAGAGAAGAGGAAAAGAAAAGGATGAAGAAGAAGGAGAAGGAAAAAATAGCGAAAAGGAAGATAGACAACTAGTAGGAGAGAGTAGGGAAAGAAAAGTAAAAATAGAAAGAAAAGTAGAGAAAGAAAGATAAATCAGAAACAAGAAGGGAAGGATGGATTGGAGGGCGGGAGGTTGCCCCTGAATTCCAGCAGCCTCCCTGCCGCCGATAGGGGTCGGGGCCGCCCAGGATCCCATCTCTCTTGTTTTCGTTTTTATCCTCATCACACTTCCCCGAGCTCCGAGCACTTCGGAGTTCCCTTTCCCCTCTTCCTTTTTGTTCCGTGTGAATGCTGCAGCACTTCCTGATTCTCTTCTCGTTTTCATTGAGTTTTTTTTTGTTTTTTTGTGTATGAGTATACGCTATGGTGCAGCAAACAATGGCGTTACCATCTGTGCAACCATCTGCTCGCTGCTGTGCAGCAAGTAAGTCGCATGACCTTCGTGAGCGGCTGCGAACCAATGCGCCTGGTTTTTTCTTGGCTTTTGGAAGTTCTGTATCTTCCGGGCTGTGTATTGGAGACGGTTTCTAGCTGTGGCTTGGTAGTGCATTGTCATTGCTTGTGTAGCGGTGGCCTTGTTGCGGTCGACATCGACGACATGTTCTAGTCTTCCTCGTTTTTTTGCATTTGTAAAGTGCAGCTATGCAATTTGTTTTTTCCTCCATTTATTGATCAGGCTGCAGTGGAGAAGTGATATCGAAGGGTTGTAATCTGTGACACTATTTTTTCCCCCTGAATTCTGACTTTCCGCCAATCGCATCTTTGTTATTTTGCCACGATCCCTGGTTGGTTACTGTTTCCAAATTTGTGTGGGTGCTATTGTTACTAAAATGCCATATAGCAATATTTTTGGCGTACTTGCTACTGGCGATATACACGTGTCAGCAAAGTGCCACGTATTCCAGTCTTGAATTGTGCGACTGGACGAGGAATCTCGATTTAGGTGGTTGCCGTTGTGCACAGTGGGGTTGACTTGCGGCGGCTACTCTGAGCGATGTGGAGGGTGTATGCAAGAAGGAGCACTTATCTGTGCTGCAATTGGCTCTTGGTTTCCTTGAAGTCGGGTGAATAATTGTTCCCGCAGGGTATGATTCGGCTGCTCAACCTGAGTTGTGCCTTGAGAGTCCCCTGCAAGGAAGATTGCTGTTATTGGTGAATAGTCAACAATAATGTGATTCGATATCATCGGAGTTGTCATTATCCATTGAGAGCTCACAATTCCCATCAAGATCGTGAAGATTTTTGTAGTACATCGAATCCTTAATTCAGTCTCGATAGAGCATTGGCTACAGAGAAAGAATAGTTTGAAGTTCCTGCTGATTCAATGAAGGCGATATAAAGGTAGCATTGTTCTAGCTCAAGCCTTGTTGCCGACGAATGCATCTACCTCATTGGTATTGACAAGTGGGTATTCATCAATCATCTGAAGCATTGAAGCGTGAAGCCCAAGCCCTTATTGGGCTTCGTAGGGCTTAGAGAGCTTTTTGCATGACCTTCTTATTAGTTAGTATATTTAGAGACAAGGTTAAATCATTCTTGGTTTTGTCTTTTTTAATTTTTTTTTTAATTTTTATAATCAATAATCTTTGGTTTCTTTGACTTGGCACTAGCCATTCTTCTACTTTATTATCTTATAAATATGTTTGTACTTGGTTTTTACAATGTTTTATAAATTATCAATAAATATTTTGTATTATTAAGAATTTTTCTGGATTAATGTTTTTGACCAAAAACTAAACGTGGCTTTAAAAAGTTTTTCAATGCTCATTGACGCGTGACAAAATATTTGATAAAAGGAACATAAATAAAATAACTCTATTTTGTAGCATTCTAGATCAAAATAATTTGTCCAATTTGAAATATTATTCATAGGAAGAGACGCTCTTCCTTCTTTACCTTTTAACTACAGCTTCATATATACCAACCTTCAGGAATCGCACTCACATGTATGACTTCATGTACCATTTCATAGTTATCCTTATGTATAATACAAAATAAATAAATAAGTTAATAAATAAAAGGCTGCTTAGTTAGTTTGTGGTGGTGTTGATTTGGTTGCACTAATTAACCAAGGGACAACTGAGGACAATGAATGATCCGGACACTCAGCGCCGAACATCACACACCAACAGGAGGGAGTGATGCAAGAGGAGGAGGACGTGGTGTGTTTGAGGAAAAGAGCGTTGGCCGTGTGCGCAGTTAGTTGGCACTGCCTGGTTTGGTTTGCTTCCGCCGCAGTTCAGATCCGAAGGAGAGCACGAGGGATTGAGAAAGGGAGGGAGTTCTCTCGGGGTTGGGTTGAGTTGGGTTGGATTGGACTGGACTGATCAGGGAATGCGTCTGGTTCTGTGCTCCATCAGGTGTGTTCATTCATCTTCCTCGACCAGTCGTGGCCCCTTCACTGGATGGGACTCAGTCATGCGTCTCCCCAGAGCCCACTTGACTTAGTACACACCCAACTTCCCTCCCACTCGCCTGCTCACAGCACTCGGATTTCCATCTGCATCTGTTGGTCACACTAATGTCCCTGTCCGGAATTGACCAGCAATGGCCTTCACAATCTCCCTCCACCTGCCTCATCACCTGACTTGACTACTCATTGGATGACCCTGCCGCAACCGCCGACGTTGCGTTGCGTTGCACCTCGCCCGCACGACGCACTGCCGATTCTCGCATTTGATGCTGGTGATCAGCGTGGTGAGGTCATCAAAAGCTGCTGCTGCACCAGCGCTCGCCGCGAGCTCATCGCTTCGACATGGGGCCAACTTGGCGGAGACATGCAGACGGAACGGGCGATGCTCGATGCTGGTTGTGCCTCGAAGCTTCCACTATCGGGCTGCGGTGAACCGTGGCCTAGCCGCCGTCCTCGCACCAACAGCATCATGTCGGGAACTCGGTGACGGGCGACAACGGTCACAATTCTCTCGCGGACGAGGAGTGCCCAGTTCACTGCTCGCCTAGTACCCCGGGGCTCACCCAACGCTCAAGAAACCGGCGCCGGATGCTCGTAACCTGCCGGTTTTACGCGAAAGCGAATCATGACGCAGAGTAACTCGTGATCACACTCAACAGCTTCGGTTGGTACCGCAAGGACACTGCACCTGGAACCGAAAGTCGATAGGTGTACGTCGTCACCTGGCATCCGGCAACGCCGCTGTGAGTGGACGATGAAGCGGGCGCTACTGTGGTTACCGTGGTGCGTCAGAGGCAGCCGGGGTACGCATGGATTGTGCGAGGCGGGGGATTTGGTGAGCCGGACTGCGGTGCTTGGCCACGACAATCGGGTGAACGGTGTAACGGGCCTTCAAGGATTCAGCTTGTTGGATTGGACATGACTTTTCCAGCAGGGGTCGGCGCCCTCTCCGACTCTGGCATGCGTGGCCTGTGCCCTTCACCGATCCGCAACTTCGCCCGGCGTTTATACTTGAAGAAATTGCTTTACATATTGTTTCTAAAGTAAAGCAAGGGCGTTTGATGATAGTGAGTGTATTAGTATCTACTTATTCATATAGTTTTGTTTTGAAGGTCAAAATAAAACAACCTACATGTTATTTTAGAAAATTATACATGACCTTTACGATTTTTTTAATTTAATTAATACTGAAAGTTGTCTAAATTTAATATTATTGGTTTTTTTATTTTTTCTTTTTTAGATAATAGTAGTACATAATGTGGTAATGAAGTGAATCTTAATAGTAACTGATTTTGTAAAAATAAAAATAAAAAATAAAAAATTGTTTTACTTTTTCCATTGATGAATGATTTTATTCTAGTGTGATTTGATAGAGATATTTGTCTATCTATTAGTTTGTACTTGCTTACATTAACTCACAAGTAAATGCAAACCAGCTATTTGAACATATGCAGTTTATTTTTTATAAAAAAATAAGCTGCATATGTTTTTTATAAAAAAATAAACATATTATAAAATGTAGTTATCAACTTAAAAATGCAGCTGTAAAAACTATGGAATGTAAGATACTTAGGTAGATACGTTATTACCACATTGCAATATGTGAATAGAAATTATTCAGATTTTATGCTTACTAAAAAAAAAAAGATTGGCGTACAATTTATTCTTAAAAATTCCTTTTTATATTGGCTCGGGCTTTTAAAACTTCAGTAATAATTCTGATATAATTCGTAAGAAAGCGATTTACCATACTTTGTGATTTTAATGGACTTCATGTCATTAAAAATTTAAAAGCAAGTCTAAATCCTTCATAAATCTGGTATTTTTTAAATATAAAAATATAGAAGTGCCATAAATTATTCATTTACTTTTTTTTATGATTAGTTATAATGTCCACTGAAAACCCATTACACGAATCTGAATTTAATGTGTTTTTACCCAATCTTCCAACCATTCATTTAACAGATTTAAAAATGTTAACTAGAAAACAGTCGTGAAATGAATGTCAACTTTGTGGCAGATGTAGTGACTGAAATGAAGAGCAGAAAATTGTTGGCTGTTAAAAACTGGAGGCGTACACTGACATGAATTTGACACTAAAACTTATTCATTGGCATCCACATTCAAAAATAATATCATCCAAATGACTCGAGATCCAAAAACATCATCATCCAAACTGAGCCGCAGGATGAGCCCTCTGAGAGCTTCGACCACCATTAGAATGTTTTTGAATTGGGCGCCAACGCTGCAGCTGGGAACAATGTTGGATATGTAATCGAATAGTTCCCTTGTGCTTTGAAAGTTAGGTGTAGGGATGGGCTTGGATACAGAATTGTAGTGTGAGCTTTGTTGCAGGGCGGGTGGTTGGAGCTTGTAGGAGCGAAATGGCGGTTGACAAGAAGGCGCCCGCCCTGTCCTATGAGGAAGAGCGGAAGCAGCGAGTGATGGAGAACAAGAGAATAATGCAGGAGCTCGGCTTGGTGGACTTGTCGAATGAGTTGAAAAAATTGAAGAAGGATTCGGCAAAGAAGCCTGTGAAACGGAAGATGCTGGTGCAAGATGTAGCGGGATTGGAATCGCGGCGATCGTCGCGAGTTGCGGCTAAGCCCGCGGTGAGTTATCGTGACCAGCTGGACCTCTTACCTGGATTTCGTGCACGGTCGGGGACAGGAGGGGAGAGGCAGGGTTTGCCACGACGGTATCTGTCTGATACTGTGCGCTTGGCCACCATTGAGATGGCGGAGGAGGCGTTCAAAGCCATCAAGAATCCTGGATTTGTAAAGGCTATGTTACATTCCCACGTTTCTAGTTGTTTCTGGCTAGGACTGCCGCATCATTTTTGCAAGAAACATATGCCGTATGAAGATGAGAGGTTTACACTGGAAGATGAGGATGGAAAGGAATGGGAGTGTTTATATCTTGCTCGTAAAACAGGTCTGAGCGGCGGTTGGCGTGGCTTTTCTCTCGACCACGATTTGGTGGACGGAGATTGCTGCATTTTTGAGCTTGTTCGTCCACTTCGATTTAAAATCTATTTTTTCAGGTGTAGTGAGCAAGAGGATAGGGCAGAAGATGTAGAAGAGAAGAGATCGGCAGTGAAAGCTGAAAGCAAGAAGGCAATGACTGAGAAGAAAGCCAGCAAAGCAGTAACCAAGAAGAAACCAGGATTTTTCGAAGCCAGAAAGTCGAACAAATCTGCTTCAAAGAAGCTGGAAGTTACGGACGAAGAGGACGATGAATATCAGTCTCCAAAGAGGTCTGTGAATCATGATGATTCTTACGTGGTAGTCGCTTCTAGGGCTTCCAGCCGCAAGCGTGTCGAACATGAGGACGATGTTGGCAAATGTCTCACTCCACCAAGGAAACATTACAAAGGAACAAAGTCCAATCATCTGAAAGGAAATCAAGCTGACAACCCAATTGACCAGGAAAGTGTACAAAATGAAGTCGACGAAAAAGGTTCAGGGGAATCCGCTGCTGTGACCAAGACGAATCAAGCAGGTTTAGGTCTATCATCCGGCAGAGTGACCAGAAACTCTTCGAGAAGATCCTTAGGTACTTCGTAGGCGACATGAAGTGTGTTGTATTGACAGTGAGAAGGCAACACTTCAGATGAACTAGTCACGAAGATATTGTCTGTGGCACAAAACTTTTGCTCGGGCATTTGTGCCGGTAGTCATCGTAATTATCCCTCAAGCAGCATTGCTTCATTCTCAATCTCTACAATTTTTGAAGAATTGAAATCTGGGAATTTGAGAGTAGACAGAATCGATTCATGTACAGCGGGGGATTTAAACGACAGATCAAGTGAAAGAGATATGATGTACAGTTCTTGATAGTGCAGATCCATTACCATTCAACTTAAACAAAAGAAGATCGACTGTTGGAAAATTACGGTAGAATGACTTGCATGTGATCCAGGGATTTCGAGCTTCACCTTCATTGGTTTGAAAAGAGCAGGAAGATGCTCTCACGCCACCAAGTGACGCTAGGTACGTATTCAGCTTTTTCCCGCTATCAAAAGCTTGGAATAACCTTCGAATTTTTTTTGGAAGGCTTTTCATTGCATGGAATTTACGCACTTCCGTTGAGGATTTTACGATTTTGTTTTATTAGCTCTTCAATTATGTAGTGCATAATGTGTTATGCCTTCCCGGCAAAGTGAGCCGTGTCTTCGGATGGGAGAATGTTTTAGTTAGATCCTTTGCTGTTGGAATGAAGACAATGACTTTGTAGTTGGACTTTTTTAGTCTCGAATTCCAATGGTCAAATATTCGCAGAAGTAGGTACACATACACACATTGTTAATTCATTGTTAATACATTGCTAAACTTTGCATTAGAAAATGTCTGCTTGGGGTTGTTTGCATCTCGAACGATACAAGTGCGATTTTCAACTGCTATTTAATCCTCTGACTTCCTGGGTGGAGTTCAATGCATTTGAACGATTGCAAGTACTACTGCTAAGAACAGCTGGCTCATTCTATGAGTTTCTCTAAGGAGATGTCATCATGATGCAGCAAGTCACAGGATTGCCCGATTTAATTTTGCCTTCGTTGTTGAAGTTGGTGAACAAACCTTAGGTGTCGTCAAATTTAGTTGAGTTGTAGTTTTTACTTTCAGGAACTTATATTTTCTGCGATGGTGTAGGCTCTAAAACTTTGAGCAATCTTTTCCTATAAACTTCATGGTGGTGAGAAGCTTGTTGTGCGCTCCACTCTTGTTCTCAAAATCGGTGGAATAGAACATTATCAGATATTGCTGTAAGTTTGTAAAATAAACAAGTTTTCAACGCCATCGGCAATGCTGGTTCTCCGCTTGTTGCCTGGGTTCCTTAATACCATTCACAGCAAGGTAGAAATAGAAATTACTGTGGAGCCTCACGTTTCTAATGTTTTTGCGTAGTATGTACGAAACACCACCTAGATAAATTAGCATGGGATGTTGGAGTGCAAACCAATACATCCTACGATGAGAATTGTCGAAATCAATCAATATGATCCACCGACACTGAGGTTGTCGGCAACCAGATTGACCTAAGCAGGGTTGTTCAATTTGAGATGTCTTCCAATATCATCCACATCATCAACAGTAGCTGTATCCTCGCCTTCTAATTGATCCAGCATATCTTCGAAGATTCCGAAGGCTCTCTTTTTCGTGATCTCGTCACTCGAATCATCGGGACAGAGAAGCATCTCTCCTAGGATGTCGTTAACGATAGGCTTGTTCCCAATTTTTTTAATATAATACTGAACACCAGTCAAATTTGACTTGATGGAGTTGCGATGAACTAAAGGTGCGTCATCCTCAAAGATAGAATGTGTGAACAATAGAAGTGTTCAAAAACACTTGTAAATGACGTTTGTGAGAACGTTGGTAGTATTCAAAACAAAGGCAAGGGAGAAAGTTTAGTTGTTTGATATAAGAGTTTGTTGAGGGACTCTCTACAGTGCTTGATGCTAAATTAAAACTTGTTGTAGCCAAACTTGCAGCACAAGCAGCCAATGCCATGGCATTGCCAAGAGTCTTTGATTCATCATGGTCCATCATTGTTACAATACCACACAAGTTAAAAAAAAGAAGGAAACAACCTCATTGTTGCTAAACTATGAAAGTATAAGAGCAAATATAAAAAATCATTGGAGGTATTATTGCTATTGATAAAAAAATTGATAAAGCTTGTAATCAAAGATTTGAATAATTCCTTGAAATTTTGGTTAAAGCTACAAATCATGAATAACTTTAAAATTGTAGCTGAAAATATGATTATATTAGATAAGTGGAATGATTTCAGGATGGAAGAAGGATCTACTATAACAACCTATCTACAATATGTAAACTTATCCTTGAAACAATTGAAGGAAATAGATAAATATTCTAAGAACTCAATTATAATACACAAAATTTTAAATGAATTATTAAAAAAAAATTGACATATTCAAAAGTGTTGTTAAAAACAATGAAATGATATTAAATATTGATATATTTACTAGATTATTTCTAGCCAAGGTGATGATTTTCAAAAAAATCAATTCTAGTTAGAATCCAAACAAAGTATTAATAGTCAAGTTTATGAATGTGTTATAATAAAACAAAGCACGTGGAAGCTACTTCAAAGGTCCAAAAAGATATAGAACTTCAAACTATAACAAACAACAAAACTTTGAGGGTGGAATAAGTTTTAGAGGACAAAATATAAATCTTAGGAGAAACATAAGGATTTATGACAACTTAATACACCATTATAGATGCAATGTTATATTATGTGTGTTCTTGCTTGAGAATGCACCAAATACTTAGTTGAAGAAGGTAAGTAAAAATGCAGCAATAATCCTATCAAGTCTAATAGAATCTCAAATAAACTTTATGTAAACCTTAATAATCCTAATCAAACTTTGACCAATTTAACATAAATTTAAAAGAAGTTATTAAAAAATTACAAAGAAGTCCTAAATTAATATAAAAAATAATAAGAATTCTTAAAAAAATATATAAATAAACCTTAAAAGAAATAATAATAATCTTTAAAAATACTAAAAATAAAAACTTTTAAAGAAATAGTAAAAAAATCCTGAAAAAATACTAAAAATAAAATCTTAAATAAATTCTTATCAAATCTTAATTTAATCCTAACTAAAATCTTAATGAATCTTAATCAAACTCTAGATTTAATCCTAATTAAAATCCTAAATAAACCTTAATCAAATTCTAGATAAAATTCTAATAAAACTCTAATGAATCTCAAATTCTAAAGAAATTCCAAATCAAATCCTAAACAAATCCTAAACAAATCTTAATCAAACTCTAAATCTTAAACAAACTCTTAACAAATCCTATAGCAGATTGAAACCTCAATAACTAATAATCAAACTATTGATAATAACTCAAAATTTTCATACTTCTTAATATCTTAGCTAGAAACAAACATAAGAAAAATGAAATTGATCGCACTTACCAATTGAGAGAAATGCAAGATAATCCAATTGGTTGTTAAAGGGCCTCCTATTCTAATATTCCTTTCTTGAATTATTGAATTGCTTTCAAATTTTAACCAAACATTGGAAATTGAGTCTAATATCTATACAAAAAAATTTCACTTCAATCCAATTGAGAAATTGCAAAAGAACTTAGAAACACTCATTGACCTTCAAACTCCAATTTTTGAAACCTCAATCTTCAAAAACCCTCATATACTTCAATCTATCCATTCGATTGATTTCAAAATTTGCATATACATTTATAATTACCACACCAACACATTGTCAAAATTTTATCCTTGCATATACCACAAAACTCAAGAAATCCTCAAATTTATAAATATATTTTTATTTCTTAAACTTTCATTCTACTAAGAACATTACTAACTATAAAAATACCTTAAAATCTCAATACTGATTCAAATAACATGAAACTAATGCCTAAAAATCTCTTCTCTAGTCTACTTTTAATTTCCACTCTTTAATCTACAAAAAAACTCCAAAATCATTATATAGATGTAGTTTTGTATCTCCGGGTTTCATTTCAATCCTCGTTGATAACTAGTCTTCTTTGAATATTATTATTATTTTTGATAATTTGAGGTAAGTTTTACTTTAAAATATTTTTAATTCTCTCTTAAATATGTCTATCAATTTTTTATCTCATTTATTTTGATTTGGCTCATTTATGCCTCTACAAAGTAAATAAAAATTCTTTTTATAAAAGGTAGTATTAAGTCTAAATCTTTTACTACCTTTCTATCATTTATTTTTATTTTTCTATTACATCTTTCTATGAGGCTACTCTATAATAATATCTAGATTTTTATTTTTTACTATATAGTGATGTTATTATACAATAGCAATGTATCAAGCTATCTTGCTTGATTATGTGCCTCAAATATACTTATAATTATTTAGATAATATGAAAAAGTAGAAATATATAAAAATAGTTTAATTTAACAATATCTTATGAAAAAATTTCTTAGAAGCTTCAAAGACATGATTTCACATTTATACATGTCTAAAGATGATTAGTAGGTTAAAAACTTGGCCAACAAGTTAGTCACATGTTATATATATATATATATATATATATATAATAATAATAATAATAATAGCTTGTGGTATAAGCTAACAATATAGTGTACTTATAAGAAACTTATCTTGCAAGTTAAGATATATGTCTTATAAATTCAACACATGCTAGAGGTCCTATAAAACATTGCTACATAATTTTTAGGTAAATAGTATATATAGTGGCAAGAGTGAAGTCTTCTTTATTCTTGTTAAGTCTTTTTTTTGCTTCTAATCTAGTTTCAAGAGTCTTTAGTTTTTTAGCCTTTAGCAAAAGCCATTCTAATTTTTATTATATATATATATTTTTCTATTTCTAATTTGTAATTTCTCTTTGATTCATTTTTTACTTATTTATATATCTTCTTTGAATTCTTATCCTTGACAGATTGACAAGATATTTAATTCATTATTCTTATTTTATTTTTAGAATTAAGTGAATTATTCCACTTTTATTAATGTATTTCAAATATTATAGAGTACTTAATTTAAATTAATATTTATTTTTCTAAAATTTATTTATTTTCTAAAAAAATGAATTATCTCTCTTTGTCAAAATCTTCATTTGATATTAGAGATTGGAGATTATTATTTTTTTATTTTACTTGTGGATTTATTAAATTTTTTGAAACAAAAAAAAAATCATAGATGTTACACTCGATAGGAGTGAGAATAGATTTGCAACTATCACAAATCTTCATGAGCTTGTTAATACTCTTAAGCTAAAATTTTCACACATCACTAATGTCAACTAGGGAAGCACTATTCCTATACATAGGGAAGGAGTTTAGAATCTATGCCAAAAAATTATGTAATTGAAAGAAGTAAGTAGACTCACCTCACAACCAAATCCAAGAAGTCTTCCTTCTGTAAACACAAAAGATGTAAGGATTAGTATGACTAAGAAGTTTGATGGAATAAGATCAAAATTTTGAGGATTTTTGCAACAAATTAAACTCTATCTAAGATTACATCTTTTGTAATATCTTAATGGATTTATTCAAATTAAATTTATATGCATACTTTTATCTAATAATACTCTCTTTTACTTTGTACTTTTGATGGAAAAAGATTCATGATTATTTTATGATTTGAATTCATTTTTACAAGTATTTACAACTATATTTGGAAAAGGTGATCCAAAAAGAGTAGCAAAGATCAACGTCTTATCTTTACAACAAAGATCACAATCAATCACTATATATGCTGCTGAATTCCAAAATCTTACTTATAACATAGACTAGAACAACAAAGTCCTTATTAATCAATTTCAATATGAGTTAAAGGATAATGTCAAAGATTTGTTATTAACAATGCTAAAAACAAATTATTTGAAATAATTTATTGCTTAAGCCATTGCATGCAACAATTGACTATTTGAAAGGCATCAAAAACAAAGATTTAATCAAAAAAGGATAAATCAAGTAATAATGACAATTTTTAAGTTTTCAATAACTTATTTGTTGAGGCTACAATCAATATAAATTGATATGGTACGTTTTAAATTTCACATTGTGCAAGAAAAGATTCAACATTCTCAAGAGGATTTGTGCTTATATTATAGAGAGGCTAAGCATACTACTCAATATTATCTAAAACAAAAATGCAATCAAAAAATGAAGAGCATGGTTGCTAGAAAATACAATGTATTAAAAAATAAGTTTTTTTAGCTATAATAAGAACCATGTAATTGGAATCATGTGTAATATCTAAAAAAGGTCATATTTTTTCTTCAAATCTTT